GCGGGACGTCTCCAAACAATGTATGGTCACATCCCATAATTCAAGGAGTAGTCAAGCTGTCCTTCTTCCTTTTAAAAGCCCCTTCCAGCACATTGGAGGAGAGGTCGCAAAACTTGGAGAAAAGTAATTGAGACCGAGCTGTTAGCAGATCCTTGCATTACAGCACCACTGCCTAGTTCTGAGCTCCGATCCATTGGAGGAGAGGTCGCAAAACTTGGAGAAAAGTAATTGAGACCGAGCTGTTAGCAGATCCTTGCATTACAGCACCACTGCCTAGTTCTGAGCTCCGCTCGCCGGCGAACTAAGCAGACCTGAACTCCCCACACAAAACAAAGAGGGCATTCCCTCTGCTTCTGTTGTAACCATTTGATTATTAGTTTGTAATAAGCTTTCTTATTAATACAAACGAACACTCCCTGTTTTTCGGGAAATCAAATTTACACCATACAGAAGATGGCGACCACAGTGGGAGGAGCTGTTTCATCGAACGAAATGGTGGTGGCTCAATTTGACGAAGTTGCTGTCGGGACGACTGTAGAGTCCCTGGAGATTGAGTTCGACCAGGCCAAGTACGAAGAGTACTTGTCTTCCTCATCCTCTGGTGGCGATGCGTCCCGCAAACGCCACAGAGTCGTGCGCCGAAGCCGACCTCAGACGGTCAAAGCTTCCGCACCTGAAGGTTCCACCCGAGTCTTGTCGGAGGAGCCCACTCCCTCGCAATCGATCAAGGCCAAGCCAGAGATCGAGCGCAAGATGCAAGGGTCTGACAAATGGATCGCCAATCGGTCCACGCAGACACCTGCCTCGGAGGAAACGTCGGTTCACTCCGGCACAAACTGCACTGCCACAGCCCGCGGCGACGCTCCCCTCACCGGGAGAGCTAGCCAACAGCAACGGCAAACGCTCGTCAGACAGGAGGTCCCAACCTCCGTTTCTCACAATGGCCTGAACCATCATACAGGCCCGAGAAACATTAGACGAGAAGGCAAACTGCCCGATGTCGGAAGGACCTCCAGATCAGGAGCACCAACCGAGGACGGCAGAACCATCCGCTCAGGAGGACTTCGCTTCTCAGGTCACATCCCTGATGCGAATAAACCACACCGAGCGAACGAGCCTACCCGAGTAGGCGAATCCTCGAAGGCTGGCGAGCCTCGCCATAACCATTTGGCGGATAAACGTAAAGGCAGAGAGGTA